GGCACCTTAAGACTGGGATGCCATTAAAGTTCATGTGCGTGTAAAGCCAGGCGTCCCAATACTTTTGCTAATATAGTGTATATCTATATGCACTGACAACCGTGCGGTTTTCAAAGCAAAATTGCGCAAACAAAAACGCGTGAAAACAGCTCACCAGCTCAATTGCCTAGGTGTGAACCTAGCCTAAAAGTGCCCCTCTCTCTCATCTCAGAAAGCTGGAAGGTATGCCAAAGCTCATCAACTTTGACAGGCCCTTATAGAGGTCTAAAATTTAGACCAAAAAGAGAGACATCTGAAGAGTAAAAAAGGACAGAGGGATTTGGTTCCAGAAGAGGGCCCGTCCATTTAAATGAGTATGAAGTACAGTTGTTTTCTGTTTTATTTTCCATTTTCCATCATTTTCTGTACATTTGTTTCCTGTTTCTAGCCTCCAGTCTCGTTTCAGTCTCTCCCCCACCCTGGTACTTTCTGTTCTCCGGATCAGATGTGAGAATAGAAACTGAAAGCTTGGAATGGGAGGGCTTACAGCCTGCTTACTTATACCAGCAGATGACAGAACAGGAACAGCAAACGCCTGTGAACAGAGGCCAAAGCAAGACAGGAGCAACACAGCTAATCGCTGCTAAAAGGAATATCATTACAAGGTAATACATAAGTTGGCTAGGTGCGGGAAGGTGACCATCAGTCCTAATTGATGTGTGTGCTGCTGCTGCTTTAAATTATGCTGATGTTTGTGTACGTTTCTAAGCAGCCAGAATCATTATGGCTCAGGATGCTGATCGGTATGGCTATGCAGGGCCTTGTTTATCAAAGCCATTGTAATAATAAATATGTAGAACCGCCAGCAGTTAGATTTGGGCCTGCTCTAGAATGGGACAGTTGGGGAAGGAAAATTAGAATCTGGGTGGTTCACAGCTGTCAACACAGACAGTTCTTATTTCAGACGCAGTTTGGAGGACGACGCTGATTCACCGGGATTACACAATGCTGATGACGTCACTGCCAGTTAGAAGGCAACAATACATAGACTGACATTACGAGCTGTTAAGGTGGAATGTTCAAGGAGTGGTTAGGCCAGACGGAAATGTAATATTTTATGATCACCACAGTCTCTAGGACTTGGTTTCGGGTTAGTGAAACAAGGAAATAGGGTTTTTTTTTTTTTAAAGGGCTTGTGAGCCCGACAGATCAGGTAAGGGCTTGTTTATATCAGAGTTTACGTTATGTTAATCAGAACTTTTGCGGTTGCAAAGGGAGATGTTCTTAAAGGGACCCTAAAATTGATGTTCGGGAACTACAGAATTGTATTATTGGTTCACTAAAGGAGTACATTTCTCATCTGGATCAGTGAAGCTGTGTTCACTTCAATCGTACAATTGAGAGAAGGTGAATCAAGTTTGTTTTTTCGATCCCTCTTCATGATTTAAGGCAAACACTGGCTGTTGTGAAAATAAACTTCTTTAGTATAACATGCTCTGAGTTATTATTGTAACTATCATAATATTACATTGTCATCTCACTCACACATTCCTACGTGTTTACTGTGGCATTGCATGGGAATAAAACAGTAAAATGTGGGACCAAAGTCACCCAGGACTCTCAGCCACAGGGTTCCAGGAAGCAATTACTTTTAACTGGAAAGAGCTGACTTTTCAGTTCTTTCCGGATTTTCTGGATTATAGTTGGGATCCTGGAACCGGGGGATTTCTAATAGAATTATTATATGACCATGGCCTCACCTCCATTACATTATTCCTAAATTAATGTGTGCTGAAACCCAACCAGGACAGCTACCACACCCCACAGCAGCCAGCGGGTGCCTCCCCTTTCCTAACAGACCACAAAGGCACAGAATCTTGGCTCACCCTACTACAAGCACCCCAAAGTACAGCATTTCAAGACTGATGTAACCTTAGAAACATTTTAGGCTAGATTCACTTTAAGGGGCAAGTCCACTTTTCCAGGGGAATTTGAGAAAATGGAATTACCCACTCCAATCTGCCCCCCTCTTCCCTCCACTATTCTTACCTTTCCGGTAATGCTCCTTCCCCTTCACCGGTATGGCTGTACTATCCATACCCTGCACTACCGTGTATCACAGTCCTGCTCTCTGGATTTTAAATTTTGCTCAGAAATGGCGAGCACTCATTGGTTCTTAGCAAAAAAAAACTTCTCATTGGTCAGCGCGGTCAGAAGCACTTCTGATTAGTCCAGAGCACAGGGATGCGCTACACGGCAGTACGGGGTACGGATTAGTACCCCCGTACTGGCAAGGGGAAGAAGCAATCGCCGAAAGTTAAGTATAGTGGGTGGGTGGTTTGAGAATATAGAGGACAGAGCGTGGAGAGGCAGCCAGGAGAAAGAGCAAGAAGAGACAGCCAAGGGAGGGAGTAAGGAGACCGGCTATAGAGGACTACAAGTTCCAGCTATACATTATACAGCAATACAAAATAAATATCAAGCGACATATGTGTTGTTCCAGGGTGGCTCCCTGATGTCCTAGGGTCTCAGGTGGCCTGTGCGGGCTCTCACCAGGGCTGTGCGGGCTCTCAGATGGACTCTGTGGGCTCTCAGATGAGCTGTGGAGGCTCTCAGGTGGGCTGTCAGGAGGCTGTGCGGGCTATGTGTACTTTCAAGTGGCTGTGTGGGGTCTCAGGTGGGCTATGTGGGCTCTCAGGTGGCTATGTGGGCTATGCAGACTTTCAGGAGTGCTGTGCGGTATCTCACCAGTCTGGATGCGGGCAGAGTGGTGTCCGGAAGACGTAGGTGGAGATATAGTCTCTAAAAAAGAAAAGTGCGCCGCTAGAATGTTCGGGTTTCACTTGCTTGCTAGCAGTAGATATATGCAAAAACTGCTGAGGGTTTAATAACCCTTTAATTATACAAAACATTTTTTTTTCTTTACAAATCTTAATGGGGGGCATTTAGCAAAACTGGAGCAAACAGAATCTGGAGCAGTTGCCCATGGCAACCAATCGGCTTTTATCTTCAGTTTTGAAAATGAAGGATAGAAGCTGATTGGTTGTCATGGGCAACTGCTCCAGATTTTGACTGCTCCAGTTTTCATAATTTCCCCTCAATATGTGGTTTTAGCTTTAATTTTATATACTCTATCCAACCCCTGAACGTTGCTTCCAAAGTACCAAGCCTTTTTATGTTAGGCACTATTGTGTCAGTGCTATTGACGCAACAAAACTGTTTTTGAGCCTCCTGGGATAATAGTAATTTGTTATTTCCAAATCATAACCACATCTTTCTTGCTTTAAATAATCAGCCACATTGTTGTCTCTACCTTGTATGACTTCTTCTGGGCACATCAGTTAACGTCTCTTAACCTTTATTTTTTAGATATTTCCAGGACCTTCAATGGATCCCCAACGAAGGCCTTGGGAGGAAGCTAATTATAATCGACAACATGAAAGAAGTAAGACTCTTTTGTCTTTAAGCCCTGTGACCTATCAACATTGTAGTTAGCACTAAGGAATTAGACTATGTCTTCATAGGAGCCAGTAAAGCATTTATGTGGATGCTATGCAATGGCTCCTGCAGACTGTTCCTTCTGTCCATGTCCATACCAAGGTATAGAGATATAGTAACATGGACAAGAGGAAGTGTCAATGGACAACTGGTGATGTCACTGCACTTGTATTCTCCCTCTGCTGCGGTGGCTCCACCCACACAGCCACGTCATCCCTTCACAGATCGTTTGATAGGATCTGTGAATGGATGATGTGGCTGTGCGGGTGGAGCTACATGCAGCTGGGCCAAATTCAAACAATATCAGCATCTTGAAGGGAAAAGAACCCCGCAATTCGCCTTGTGATCTGACCATGGCCTAAATATGGGTGTAACATGAAGCATGTCTAGAAACAAGAACTTAGGCTGGCCATGCACTGTTCTATTTTTCTCATTCAACCCATGTGCTTAACAAAAAAAATAGAGCAGATTCCTCCAACAACACTGCAAGTGTGTCAATCGAGGAATCCCCCTGTTTGCCTTATATTCTGACAGCAGCCCTTAGGGCCGGTTCACACCACTAAGTCTGCGTTCAAGAGTGTTTGGCCTGCTGGTTCCCTTCGTTCAGGGGCAGGAGGGGGTGTGGCGGTGCATGTAAGGCAATGGCACCGCAGCCACGCCCCTGCCCGCACTGCGATCTGCAAAAATAGTTCTTGCCGCATTTGTGCAGATCGCACTGGACCAGAACGCAGGCACTAATGTGCCTGCGTTCCGGGTGCGGGCGATCGCACTGTGGGTGGGGGGCACGGCTGCGGTGCCATTGACTTCAATGCACCGCTGCCCCCTCCCCACTAGGGAAATATACTCTCTATGTTTGTATTGGTGATCACTATCACTAATGGAAAATACACAATTATCAATGGTCATCAGAACAGGAATAGAGGAGAAACAAGAAACACTTGTCCGGTGGCACGGTCTAAGGTGAAATCTCCCTCACCTTGGAGGGTTTTTTTCTCACGTCCTGTTGTTTCAACAGGACAGGAAATTAATAGAAATCTCCAAAATGAGATGCAGATGGCAAAAACGCTGGCAGGGGTTTTACCATTCACTTCTCAATCCCTCATAGAGGAAAAGTTTTAGCTTTATATACACTTTTAAGCAGACAAGCAGCTTAATATACAGCTAAAATAATTTTTACCTGCAAAAGGATTTGTTTTCCTGTTCAGCCAGTCTTTTGATACAGACTTGCCAGATAGCATAGACAAATCCTTAACCTTCAGTGTAGGGGAAGCATAGCTTGATCTAGAACACCTCCCTCCCCCAGTATAGAACACAATACAGGTGTTACATCACACTAATGAAGAATCTGCTTCTGCTAGTATGGTTCCGTTAGCACCTCTACAATACAGCCAAGCCTCATTGGCTCCTAGTGCTGGTCCTAAAAAAAAAAAAATGGCCATACATTTCAGTCCAGGTTTTAAAAATCAGCTATCAAACATCCTTAATGGGAAAAACTCTTTCACTATATATATATTTTTTTCCAGACAGGGCAGGACCAAGGCTAGGAAGGGGTCTCCACAATGGCCCAAGGCAAAATCAACAGCTAAATAGAAATGAATTTGGCGGAGCAAATGAACGGCAAGAGCATAGACCTAGAGAAAGAAATGCACAGCAAGTTGGAGGGCACCACGAGCCAAGATTTGAGGGATTTAAAGAACGTCAGCCTGAAAGACAGCGTGAACAAAGGGATGGTGGACCACATGAGCACAGGGGTGGAAGGCGAAATGAACAACGTGGTGGAGGCCGAAATGAACAACGTGGTGGAGGCCGAAATGAACATGGTGCGAGAGGACAAAATGAGCATAGAGGTGGTGAACAGCGTGAACATGGTGTTGGTAGACATAATGAACAGCGTGGTGGTGGACGTCAAGGGCATGGACCAGGATTACGAAATGAACAAAGAGCCGGAGACCAGCAGGGTAATAACTGGGGTAGAGAAAACCACAACCAGGAAGGAAGGGAAAATCATAGACCACAACCAGAAAGGCCACGCCGGGACAGAGAGAGTGGAAAGGAGCATCGAGTCATACGTCTGGGTTACAAAGCTCTTGAAGAACTTTTGAGAAAGGAAACCTCAGAAGTAGCGATCACTCTAGCTGCACATCCTGGTCTAAAGGATTTGCTGTCAGCCACTGAAATGAGGCCAGATTTGGTGGAGTTGCTGTGTAAGGCTGTATGCAGGGCCTGCACCTCTAGATTAGAGAGGCAGAGTATTCAGCATCTCCTTGGACAGGTCAAATCATCTGAATATATTCGTATTTGCCTCCCGCACTATATAGTAGGAATGATGACAGAACCTGTCTCTGAGAGGAGGCAGCGTTATCCCGATAACATTGATAGTATAATAACTCTTCTGCAAGAAATTATAAGCATGTTTCCTGCCAGTAGCATACGAGAGACTTCAATGTTGGTGGCTCTCATTCCTAACTCTATTAACAGTTTACGTGCTTTTGGAATAGAAGTGGGGGAACATATAGAGCAGAATCTAGAAAGGGTATCAAATTTTATTCAGCATCTACAGGACAGGAGAAGAGAAGGAACACTACGAGTGGACTCACCCATGGTCATTGGAGCAGACGTTCCTGTTGAAGATTTTAGAACATTGAGTGTGTACCCTACTTTTGATGAAGTTCATCGGGGTGAAAATCCATTTCTTAGACCAAATAATGTGTATAACAAGTTTGAAAGCACTGACCTTTACTTGGACACACACTTTCGACTCTTGAGGGAAGACTTTGTACGGCCATTAAGGAAAGGGATCCAAGACATCCTTCACCATGATGTTAGAGGCATCCGTAAAATTAAGTTTGATGACATTCGTGTTTACTTCGACACGCGCCTAATTACTCCTATGTGCACACCCTCAGGAATTGTGTACATAGTCAAGTTTGATGTCACACCGTTAAAGTGGATACGCTGGCAGAACTCCAAAAGACTGTTGTATGGATCACTAGTTTGCCTGTCCCAGGACAATTTTGCATCCTTCTTATTTGCCACAGTTTCTAATCGTGATGCCAAAGAGCTGGAACAAGGTGAGGTGCACTTGCAGTTCTGTGAACAGAGTAGAGAGCTTCTGGCAAGGACAAACCCAGCTGATTCTTTCATGATGGTGGAGACTACTGCATACTTTGAGGCCTACCGTCATGTGTTGGAGGGCTTGAAAGAGATGAATGCACAGGATGTGCCTTTTCAGAAATACATTGTATCATGTGAAAGTGAGCTGGGACCACCACGGTATCTCAATGCCGGTATCCAGTATGATCTTAGCTGTATGATGAGCAAAGAGAAAAGAGACATCCCAGCTGCAAGGAACAAACTCAATATTCTGAACCCCTTGGAATGGCCTTCCAAAGAGTCCTTAGGCTTTGATGAGTCTCAAATAGAGGCTGTAAAGCTGGCACTGACCAAGGAGATCGCCATTATTCAGGGGCCTCCAGGCACAGGTAAGCTTCTGAAACTTAAAGGACTTACAGTATGAAAAATCTACGTTGTTGTAAATACAATTTGAGTTTTATATTTTTTTAGTTTCACTGTTTTTTTAAGCTACCAGGTAATCAGACCTTATAGCCTAATACATAACTAGCAACTTGCAACTAACTAGCATTCACTAACTACAAAGCCGGAAATTCTTAAACTAAGACCCAAGCTAAAACTATTCTCTTGTTGTTTTCACAGAGTAGGTAACTGTAAAAACTGGTTATTATAGTTAAACAATAAAGGTGATCAGCGCCAGTAAGTGTAATGTGGAAATATGAGCTACCAAGCACTAAGGATATAACTAAATATCTGTAAAATGTGAAAAAACAATATTGTGCCGAGCTAATAATCATACATATCTAATAAATTGAAACATATATAAATGAGTCACATATATGAGCCTTCAAACAAATGAGGCATAAGAAATATCTACACACATACAAAAAAGCAATATAGGCAAAAAAAGTCCCAAGGAAAAAACAAACGCAAACAATGGTGATTGTGCAACAAATTCCTCAGATGATTCGCAGCCAATGTGCATATAACTCTCAGGTAAGGATAATCACACAATGCAGGCAGACCTTCACCTCCACCGAGTGAGTGATGATAACAAGTGAATGCTCACCTGGGGAGGTAGACCCACAGAGCTAGGTCAAATGCACTTTTTCCCTTCTTAATGGGGGAGGGAAGCCCATGCACAGAAAAAGGCGATAAGGTCTCCTCAGATCACAGGTACCAGTATAAATCTCGGTGGAAAGAGAAAAAGGACAAGGACATAGTGCGTTACGTCCAATAAAATGCAATTTATTATACTGTCGGACCGAACGCCCGACAGTATCAGGAGAGAGGAGGGGACCCGGCGGCATACCTTATCCCACCGGGTGACTGTCTTCTCCTCTCTCTGCCGGCGTCCATCACCAAGATGGCCGCCGGCAGGTATCAGAATACTGCCGCGCGATGACGTCTCGGCGGGGTGACACCCGGACACCGCTCCGGGTGTCACCAAGCCTCGGGACGCCCCTTTACAGGGCTGCAATAACAGCTTTGATCTGCCAGTGTCCAATCACCTGAAGGCAGCTGCATAATTCCTCCATTCAAGAATAAGCTTCCTGTGTCCTGTGATGTACCCCAAGAAACATAAATGTAGAAAACAACTACTCACTCGGTGCCCAGAACTGCATGTCCCAGGCTTCAGGAGATAATACACCCATGCTGCCCCTCTGCTCCCTGCCGCCCCAAGGACCGGCCTCAGTGGCCTTGTGGGAAATCTGGCCCTGGTAATGCTGCTTCAATAGTTTTTGAGGCACTGACCCAGAACATAGAAGCAGAAGCTCCGACTTCCTTCATTTTCTATCATGCATGCTCCTTCCACCTCGGTAACTCCAAATATTAAAGTGGACAGGAACTCAAAAAGTAAAGATTTGGTGGAAGATTTACATTTTGTCTGGAATACCTCCTGAAAAATAGCAGAGCACTTTCTGGTATGTGAATGTGCCTAGACACTCCGGTAGCCTCATAGTTGGTAGACAATATTAGTGTCCTTTGTGATCTGCTTGTCTTTTTTGGGCACAGACTCCACAGTTCAGTTCCTCTTTAAAGCAGAACTATGGGGTAAGTGCTTTTCCCATAGTTCTCCTAAGGGTCACGGGAGGACATAAACTAGCGTCCCCTCGTGACGCTAGTTTCAGTATATCATGAGCTACAGCTTGCGGTATACTGAGACCGCTGCAGCCAGGATGGATCCCGACATTACTGTCGAGATCCACCCAGCTGCATGAGTGACAGCTGGCTCTGCCTATCTAGAGGCAGAGCCAGCTGTACTCGCCCCTCCCCTGTCCGTTCCGCCAGTCAGCGCTGGAGGATCGGAGCGGGGATGGGAGAATCCCTGCAGGGAGCCGTGAGTGACAGTCACGGCTCTCTGCAGGGAGATGATCAAGAAGTGAGCAAGCGACGGTATGTGTTCGCTCACTTCCCGATCTATTGAGCTGACATGTGACAGTTTAATTGTCACACGTCGGCTCGAACTATGAGGTGAGTGAAAATCTCACCTCCTTTAAGCCAGAGACAGCCAGGCAACTAGCATTCGTAGAAAAAAGGCCAACAATATTTATTTTACTTCAGGGTTCTTTTAAACACATGTCAATAGGCGCAACAGGTACTTTAGCAAACTTTACAGCCATGTTGTACTAAACACTGTAATGTATCCAAAATATGCATAAAGGTGGATCTGTACTTTAATTCATTTGTTTGCTACATACCATGAGTAATAGATGGGACCTTAGACTACTCCAGCAAAAGTGATCTTCTGTTTCCCCCTCGTTTCAGGCAAGACATACGTTGGACTGAAGATTGCGCAAGCTCTGCTCACTAACCTTGATGTATGGCAATTAAATGGACACCTCTCTCCAATTCTTGTGGTCTGCTACACTAATCACGCATTAGATCAGTTTCTGGAAGGTATGTATACTGCTCATTATGGTGTATATAAATGTATACATCCATTAGACATTTCATTTGTTTAAAGTGTTCTGTAATTAAATATATAAATATATATATGATGCTTCCAAACTGTTCTTCCCTTCCAGCAGCTGGCTTTGACAAGAACCAGTCAGGACTGGGCAAATGCAAGAATCTTAATTAGGGATGCACAAATACCGGTATTTCGGAACTCGCCGATACCGAATACCGATATCGGAAGTCCCATTAAGGAAGCCAGGCGGCGTGTAATGACTCGCCACCTGGCTTCCTGATTACCCGGGAAGCCAGGTGGCATGTAAAGACTATGTGACGAGTAAGCATGGAGGCGGCTTTCTGGCCAATCAGGAAGCCGGGCGCTTTATAATGACGCGCTGCCCGGCTTCCTGATTGGGCGGGAAGTCGGCTTCATGCTCCCCCATCACCTCATGACGAGGGAGCATGGAGCCGGCTTCCTGGGCAGCGAGTCATTACACAAGTGATGATGGAGCATGGAGCCGGCTTCCCAGGCAGCGAGTCATTACACAAGTGACGAGGTAGCATGGACCCGGCTTCCCGGCCAATCAGGAAGTCGGGCAGCGTGTAATGACTCGCTGCCCGGCTTCCTAATACAGGAAGTATCGGGCTAGGCATCTGAGCATTTGGACAAGTATGAGTACTCGCCCAAATACTCGGGATCGGCACAGATACTAGTACTAATCTGAAAAAGGAGAATACAAATAAAATAAAAGGATAAACGGCTTTCCCTAAGGGCTAGTTCACATCATCCTCAATGCGTTCCCGGCCCGATTGTGGCCGGAACGCACTGAATCACATTGCGGCCGGCTCAATTTGTTGTGGGGCGGGAGGGGGCGTGAATGGCACTGCAGCCACGCCCTCTGTCCGCTATGCGATCGGCCACACAGGAACGTGTGGCACATCAATGCCCCCTGTTCTGGTCCGGTCAGAAAAATAGTGCTTGCAGCATTTTTTCTGAGCAGAGCGGACCGCAGGTATTGATGTGCCTTGAGTTCCCATGCAACCGATCGTATTGTGGACGGAGGGCGTGGCTGCAGGGCCATTCACTGCACTGCCACCCTCCCCCTCCCCCCCCGCCCCACAACAAATTGAAACGGCCGCAATGCGATCCAGTGCATTCCGGCCACAATCGTGGAAGGTGTGAACTAGCCCTAAGAGGCAAGGCTGCACTATTATAATAGATCAGAGTGGAGATACATGTCAATTAGCAAATAGCTCAAGAAATCAGGTTGTGTTTTGTTGACGTATTAAAAGGTATTCTCCTGAAGCCTTACCCTACCACTGTTGTTTCAGGGATTCACCAGTTCTTGAAGAATGGTATTGTACGTGTTGGAGGACGTAGCAGCAGCGAAGTTCTAAAGCAGTTTAATGTCAGAGAATTAAGGCATGAGATTCACAAACACTGCCCACTCCATATACGCAGGGCATGTGGAGAAGTGAGTACTAATACACATGGAAAATGTTCTATATCTTATCTAGCACTCTGTATACTCTGTGTAACAACTACTGAGATAAAGTATAAGTTAAGTTAGTATTTGGGCATGTTTTGGTCAGTTTGGGCTGACTGACAACCTTAAAGTGTATTTCTACTTTTGAAATCAAATTTGAGAAAATACCTCTATATGTCTGTTATGTGTATCTATTCACACAGCATACTGAAAAATAATTCTTAACAAAAGATTTCTTACCTTCTAGCTATTTTGTTGCAGCAGGCAACATGGCTGATTCCAGGTTTTTCTCAGCACCTTTGCAGTGATCTCTTCTTATAGAAAGACTTAGGACTGAAATTTGAGGATTGTGTTTCCCTCATTGAAGTAATTTACATACAACAGAGAAGCCCCTGGCCCCCCACAGCCCCTCCTAACATCACAAAAAAAAGAAAATAAGCAAGTAGAAACTTTAACCCTTAAGAAGCCAAAAAATCCTAACCCAAATAAAAGCAATTTGAAGTGCAAGAAGCATTTACATTTTTTTTTTTTTTTTTAGCTTTTACGATGTGAATGGGAAAATGTAACAAATGTACAATAGGTGTTATCCTAATTTGGCTGCGAAAGTGGAAATACACCTTAAGGCTAGAGAAAAGAACATGCAGTTACTGTGCTGCACATTATGTATGTTCTGCTTATGTAATGAGCAAATGCGGCTTCCCCTATTTTCATATATCTGTAAAAATATTACAAGGTCAGTCTACCCAAAAGTGATATTTATTTATATGAAGTTGGAGCTTGCAGGGCTGAGTCAGACCCTTATTTTATATGTATATGCCCTGAATACAATTCTAGACTGAATTCCTGTCCACAGGGGAGTTTTGGGTTTTCCTGACAACCATTGTGTGTTCCTGAACCTCCTTTACTAGTCTGCATAATATAAAATACATTACAAATCCAAAGTCTCATAATGGCCACAGCAAGTGTGCAGACCAAGGAACTCAGCTATCTCCCCAATTAGTTCCAAGGGCTCATTCAGACCTTACTGGTCCACTGTGGTGCTTTAATGCTACTGCGGTAACATGCGCTATGTTCATGCATTATGAACATCATGCGAACATGCTCCAACTGACTGAAAATCCCACCTTCACCATAGTGCTATACCGTGCATAGCGGTGACTTTAGTGCATTACTGTGCAAAACGGTACATAACCACGCATTACCACAATGCATAGGTGTAAAACTGACCTAAGAGGTATATGAAATTATCAGATGGTATAACTTGCCAGAAAGTAAGTAACATTGAAAGCTCAATTGTGGGGGAACTAACCCTTTAACCATGGTAAAATTAGTATTACTAAGATGATCACATATATTTAGATCTTTTAAAAAAAAGATATACTATATATATATAT